TGGTATAGAAAACAAACTCCCTGTAGGCAAAGGCTTTTCTTTGTTCCCAAGTGTGACTGCCCCCCCCCCCCCCCCCGCCGGGTGCTCAAAGTGCACGCAGCACGTGTGGAACCCTCAATTCCTATTTGCGATGCTGTCACTTTTAAAGCATCCATCTCAATGCTTATGAGCACAAAAATTGGTCTCCTGGAAACCCTTTGTGTTTTTTCAGTAGGTTAATAAGTCTACGGGTTGACAAGTGAGTCACTGGGGGTGGGTACACTAGTTTATTGGAGCAGCGTGGATCTGTTCAAAGAGGCCCCGGTGCAGCTCGCTGCAGAATCACTGTGTAGGCAAGGCTGCTGAGAGTCACTTTGTGAGGAAGAACCGTGGGCCCCACCCCCTTCACAAGTGATCTGATCTGAGTTGAGACTCTGCGGATGAAGGGAGGAAAGTGGGGCAGTGGTGTGTGTTTTTTGTCCATGGACCAACCTTGGCTCATGGCTAGATCTTGGGCTTTTATTTTCCTTACATCATTTTTTAGGGGCAGGCCAGTTTTGTGCAATTCAGTCATCAGGCATGAGGGATGCCTCTGAGTGGCAAGCGAGGGCAGAACCAGGGGGCATGTACACTGTGCAGTGGGCTTAGGTGGAAGGTAATAGGAGAGAAGTAGGTGCAGGAAATGGATGGGAATTAGGTAAATCCAGGTGAATATCAGGGGGACTCTAAAAAGATCCACGAAGAGGAAATCCAGGAACAGCTGAGTGGAGGAGGGAGCCCGTTTTACTGATCATTTGTGCAAAGTCAAGTGCTTCCCRGGCATCAGGGAGAAGAGAGAAGGTCCTAAGACAGGACTGACACCCTAGAGGAGAGACCACAGCCACTCTGGGTACATATTCAAAATCTACCTCTATTCTTTCAACACCTCCTTCCTTTCTATTATCAAGACTTGAGTGAGACTCAGAATAAAATCCAGTTACATTTGGGTGGGAGTTGACTGCGAATTGTATTAGCTACTAATTCGGGGGTGGGGGTAAGTTTAGCTGGTCAAGTTCCTCCCACTCTCTGGTGGCAATAAACAGCCCAGAGCTTTTCCAGACAGATCCACTCAGTAGCAGAATGTATTTTCCAAAGATGGCCACAATAACATCTTCTATTCCATATGTCAAGGTGACCTTGACAGCCTCCCATTGAAATGTGGGGTCTTTGTCTCTCTCCTTGAACTTGGGTAGCTTTTCTACACTTGCATCTGAAAAGGAAAATGGTAGAGTCTAAAACGCCTCAGCACCCCTCCGCTCCCTCCATAATTTTCCTTCTCTGTAGCTTTTCCTGGATCTTCACTCCAAGTCTCAGGCAGAAAGATTTATCCTGAGCTGAGCTGCTTTTGTGGAAGTTGAGCAAGAACTTCCTATTGGTTGAGACAAATTCAGCATACATACCTTTTCAGTATTTCAGTATATATTTTCAGTCACTGTGCTAGAGAGTGAGGAGAGAACCTTAATGTCACACTCTGCCCCTCCTCCCCTAGATCCTGAAAGAGGGATGAAGGTCAATGGAGATGGTGAGGATGCCTATTAACAAGATGTTACCAGCCAAATGGCTTTCGTTCCAATCATATGGCATGTCAACCATTCTTAGTCAACCTCAACTGCAAAATATCTTTGAGGGGCCATGAACTCAGATGACCTAAAAGTTCTTCAGGCCAAAAAGAGAAATCCCTGTCCCCCACCTTCAGCTTCACTTATTTGAGACCCTGTTCTTTTAATAATAATAAGTATTGGGCTGGAGGCTAGACTGGAACTGGTAATGTGTGATTAATTTTCTCTGTTCAAATGCTGAATATCTTTTTTTTAAAAAAGCATTTATATATATATATTACACATTTATTTGTTTGTGTGTGGTGCTGAAGATCGAACCCAGGGCCTTGCATGTGCGAGGCKAGCGCTCTACTGCTGAGCCACAACCCCAGCCCCTGTTGAACGTCATTTAGAGCCCAGGACCAGAGCTGGAGACAGTTCTTTGGGGAATGGTGAGTGTCTTGAATAATCCGTGTCCATGTGACTTGGAGAAAGTCTTTCTGGTAGTATTGGGTCTAAACCCAGGGGTGCTTTACCACTGAGCCACATCCTCAGCCTTTTTCATTATCGTTCTTTTTGAGTCGGGGTCTTGCTAAGCTGCMCAGGCTGGCTTCACATTGCMATCCTCCTGAGCCTCCAGAGGGGTTGGATCACAGCCGTGTGCCACCATTCCCGGCCTCCTGGTGTTCTTGAGGGAACGTCCTGTTAGTCCTGTCTTGTCCAGCAGTGAGAGCCAGGACGTGAACAGTGAGGAGAAAGAAGGGAGAGGTGTCGGAGTTTATGCCAATACTTTCTGTCTTGCCAGTGTGACAGCTGCCCAGGCTGTTCCAGGAATGTCATAGGAGGTAGAAGGTCCCTGAAGGTTTCCAGGTATCAGCTGTGTCCCAGGCGCATCATGTGCTTGGACAGGGGTTTCCTCTTGACCCAGTGGTCAGATTTTATTGTCTCTCGTGGCWCTTTCTACACAAGGGGGTTCTCTGTCTCTGCAGCCACTCGGTCAGTACAGGTGTCCCTYTTCTTTTTCCCTGGTGAGGAGATCAGAAAGAAAGTTACCCCTCTCGTGTTTAGGATCTGGCATACTTGGTCTGGCCCCAGGGCTCCGAATTCTGTTTTCTGTCACAAGGTCACCTTGGGCAAAGGGACATCTCTCCTTAGCTTCCATAATGATGGAAAAGGAAACTCTTAAGGTACAGGACGTTCTTCTTAAKGTCTAATCTTGATGTGCACCTGTGCCATACATTAGCTGTAGAAGCTATGGGAAGTTAGGGCTGTGATGGACGGACCTGGTTAAATGACCAGAGGCCACATGGCAGACTTAGGACCAGCCTCCGAACTCCCTGTGTGGAGTCTCTCCACTATCCCAGGTGGTTAGGTCCTCTTTATCCCTTGTCAATAGCCAAAGTTGCTCTTTTCTGAACCTTGAAAGATTAGGCTAAGTGAAGAAACCAGTCCCAGAGGACCACACCATGTGATTCCATTTATATGAAATGTCCAGAATAGAAAAAAATACAGAGAGACAGAAAGTAGATTAGTGGTTGCTTGGGGCTATGGGAGGAATGGGGGAACTGGGGTTATGGGTTTCTTTTTGGGGTAGTGGAAATGTTCTAAAATTGGTGTAGTGATAACTGTACAACTCTGTGGATAGACTAAAAGCCAGTGACTTGTGCACTGTGTGAATTATATCTCAATAAAGCTGTTTTTWAAAAAAACTGCTCTTGCTAGGTGTGGTGGTATATCCTGTAATCCCAGCAGCTCAGGAAGCTGAGGCAGGACGATTGCAAATTCAAGGCCTGTCTCAGCAACTTAGTGAGACCCTATTTCAAAGTAGAATTTCCAATGGCCGGGGGTGTAGCAGAGTGGTAGAGTGCTCCCCAGTTCAATACTCAGTATTGGGGGAGACGAAGTTGCTCTTCTCTTGATTTCAACCATCTTTCCATAAATCCTTAGGCTTCTTGGGGGCAAAGGGCCAGGGTAGACCCTCCCCCTAGTAGACAGGGCCTGCAGGCAGAATGCAGCCTCAGCTGTTCCCCCCTGCCTTTCCTGTCCCCAGGGGAAGGACAAGCAGGAATCAGTCACATAYACCCGCTCCTGCTCTCAGTGCTTGGGCCAACACTCTGGTGCTCCAGAACACACCCACCATAATGAGGTCTCTGTGCTCCTTCTTTGCTGACCCTGTGACCAGGAAGCTCAGGCCACCTGGCATGGAAATGGCCAGGAAGCCAGGTCAGTCTTGCTAGTTCTTTCAAGGATAGGCAGAGGCTAAGTTGGATATAGAGCCCAGAAACTGTTCTGATTTCAGAGTTTTCTATTCCTTCTTTTTCTGAAGAAGGTGGCCTTATCAGCTCCTGGCCAGGGGGGTGTTGAGATCCATCCATACTTTCCCTTGACAAATATTTACCAATACTGCTTGTGTTCTAGGAAGCACCGGACAGGCCGCATCGGTGACCCCAGCCTTTGCCTTTAGAGGGCTCAGAATTCAGYGTGTTGCGGGTACAAGTATAATTAGTTATGTAATTGGGGGTCATCGCTGGAGATTAAAGAAAGGACGTTAGYCAACCTGATGGTGGGGCTGAAGGGTTGTGGTCAGGGAAGTCCTCCTGGACATCCTTACCTTGAAGACCGAGTGGGAATTAGTCAAATGGACCAGGGGAGTGGCACATGCCTGTAATCCCAGCAGTTCAGGGAGGCTGAGGCCAGAGGGTTGCACGTTCAATGCCAGCCTCAGCAACTTAGTAAGACCCTAAGCAAATGAGCCAGACCCTGTCTCAACACAGGAAATAAAAGGCTGGGGATGTGGCTCAGCGGTTGAGGACCCCTGGGTTCAATCCCTGGTACCAAAAACGAAATCAAGAAGACCCTTTGAGTAGCTCAATGTGGTTGAAGACCAAAGTATGAAGTAGAGAGGACYAAGAAATAAGGCAGGAGAGGTGGGGGACAGGTCATCTGAAGCCTAAGTAGAGAAGGTCCAGCCTTCACCCTTCTCCCCAGTAGGTCCACCTCCTCCACCCGTCTCCTGCACCAGCAGGACCCCTACCTGAGCAGAGGCCACAGTGCCATGCGAAGAAGAGACCAACCAGGAACAGAAGCAGCGAGATGGGCACCACCACCAGTAACATATCCTTGTAGAAGGCATTCCCTGGTGCTGGACACAGAGGGGGAGGGTCAGAGGTGGGCTCTATGCTTTATAATTCCCTCCCCACTGACCAGAGGCCCATAGCTTACCTGCTTCGTGATGGCAGCTCTCCCAGGGGGTGACTGTGGCCAAGTCCCAGCTCACAGGGTTGGAGACAATGCAGGAATAGGCCACGTCCTTGTCTCCTAGTCCCAGGGAAACACTCAGCACCTGTCCGTCTGTGAAGAGGCTCTGTGGCTCAACACCAAAGCCCACTGTCCCCTCCCGTCGCCAGCTATAGGTGATATCACTGATGTTAGGGGCCCAGCAGGACAAGAAGGCCTGGCAGGTCTTGAGGGGCTGAGCATCCCCTGCTACAGCAATGAACACCTGGACSGTGGGCCTGGGTACCGCATCTGGGCAAGGACAGAAGAGCAGGTTACAGGGAGCCCGGAGGGGGGGGGGCTCTGGCCGGGTTGGGTGGTCCTCTGGCTAGGCCTCTCTGGTTCTTGTTTGGCATTTCACTGCCCACAGAACAGAAGCCGATTCCTTAGTCACCAAAACTCTTCATGAAATGACTCATGTCACCCTTTTTGCTGTACCTCCTGCTGCCCCTCTCTGCCCACACTATTTAATTTGCAGTTCTCTCAAACAGGCCACGTTGTCTCGTATCTTTCTTGTTTCCGCATGGATCATCTGTGCATATATATATATGCTTTTTTGTTCTTGTCCTCCCAGAAAACTCCTACACATCCTTCAAAGCCCAGCTTGGATGCATTGCTGAATGCCTTGACTGTGAAGCCACCCCTGATATTTTAGATTTGGTGCTAGGCATCTCCAAGCACGTTGTATAATTCCCCCCACCCCCTTTTTTTTTTTTTTGTAGCACCTGTCTTATAATGTGTGGGTCTGCCAACAGGAGATGACAAGGCTGTAAGTCTGACAAGAAAGCGAGCCCATGCCTAGATCATGGAGCTTGTAGTTTGGTGAGGAAGACAGTGTCTGACAAGTGATGATGAATAACTAAGCAAATAATCACAAGGGTGCAAAATGCTGTAAAGGAGTCGCCCAGAGGCAAGGGCTCTGTCCTGTTATCTCGATAACCTTCTCTCTCCAGTGCTGTCAGATAGATAGATGCTTGATACCTGGGCCATGGAACAGATCAGTGTCCCCATGTCCCAAGCTGTGGCTCTCCGTTCCTACATAGATTGACGCGTCAATCCTGAATCTCTGTGGCAGTGGGGCCGGTGGGAGAGCACTCTGGAAACAACAGGAGGGCTGAGTCTCTGACAGCATTCCAGAGTCAAGCAGAGTAAAACCTCATTAATGCCAACTCGATCTGGTGGGATTTGTGATATGAAAAAAGAAATGATTTGCTAGGCGCACTAATAGTATAAACAAAGATTACAGGGGGGGATATTTACACCACTTAAGAGGACAAGCTGCTTCCAAACACGATCAGGCACAGTAGAAACACCCATTGACATTTCCAGTAACTGATCTGCTAATTCAAATCGTTCTTATCTATTGTCAAAGCAGAGCTCCCGAGGACGGCGGCTTGGCAGCTTCCTGCAATTAGTTCTAATCACGCTATGTATTTGGAAGCAATAAAACAGCAATTTCCTTAAAATCTGTAATTCAGATGCKGAGAACAAGGCAGTTGAGAGCTTAGTGGTGTGGGTGCTGCATGTATTATGGCATTCAATGTCCTCATTTCACATGTGTGGCAGCTGAGACTCGGAATGGGGGAGAGGTCCCAGGGAGGCCTGCGTGGTTGTCTAAGTTATTCACTGCACCAAGGCACTGGGCTAACGGGGTCACCAGGGTGCTGAAATACACCCAGTATTTTTCTTCTCAAGATGTGCGACCTGGTTCAGAACTTTGCGTCTCCAGAAAATCACTCCAGTTTCACATCAGCACCCCGAATGGGTCGCCAGAGGACCCCCGGACAGCCATCACTGCGGTTTGAGACACCTCCCCGGTTTGCTTATGGCCTTTCCCTCTCTGTTTCCCTCTTCCCAGCTTCTGTTCTTATTGTCGATTCTTAAATCTGAAACCCCTCCCCGCATCCCAATTTCTTTTATTTTTATTTTGTTTTCAGTCCTGGGGCTTGAACCCAGGGACAGTTAACCACTCAATCGTATCCCCAGCACATTTTTTTTGTTTTTGATTTTGAGACACGGTCTTACTGAGTTGCTTAGGGCCTCACTGACTTGCAGAGGCTAGTCTTGAACTTGCAATCCTCTTCCCTCAGCCTTTCAAGTCACTGCACCTCTTAATTATTATTATTTTTTAAAATCTTGACATGGGGTCTTGCTCAGTTACTCAGGCTAGCCTGGAACTTGTGACTGGTTATCCTCCTACCTCAGCCTGTTGAGTGGCTGGGATTACAGGTGTGTGTCCTGGTACCTGGCTAGCCCTTAAATTTCAAAATAATTTGTTTTACAATGATGTATGACTGAGACTAAAAGACCTCTTTTAAGAAATGCAGCTGGGTGTAGTGGCACATGCCTGTAATCCCAGCAATTTGGGAGACTGAGGAAGGAGGATTACAAATTCAAGACCAGCCTCAGCAAGTTAGCAAGACCCTGTCTCAAGATTACAAAAAAAAAAAAAAAAAAAAAAAAAGAGAGAGAAAAGAAAAATAAGGTCTCTGGGAATGTAGTTCAGTGGTTAAGCACCTGTGGGCTCAATCCCCAGTACTGGGGGGTGGAAATATATAAATGAATGTAGGGCTGACTGGGCACAGGGGTGCACACTTTTAATTCCAGTGACTTGAGAGACTGAGGCAGAAGTTAGTCTGGGAAACTTGATAAGACTCTGTCTCAAAACAAAAAAACAAGGAAAAGAAAATTGTTCCACACTTTGTATTTAGTCTAATTTGAATTTAATTTACAAATAAAAACCCCGCTGTGTCATAGTTTAGTATAGAACATCTTTCTTTTCCTTCCTAGTGGTACATAAAATAATGGCATGTTTTGTAATCTATGATGACATCTTAGAATTGATAGGTCAGGCTGTGTCCTAGATACTTTCGTAAGTGCCATTGCATTTCACCCTTTGGGCGTTATACATGGTGATATCACAAAATGCTCACTTTATGGACAAGAAAGGTGCAGGTTAGGGAGGCTCAGCGTTGTGTCCAAGCCTGCTGTTCCAGGGAGGAGCTCACCTGGGAGTATTGGAGAGTTCTCTTAGATAAGACGGCTGGGGATCAGCTGTTCTCTGAGTTAGCAACATGGTGTCTGGAACCCAGCTCTCCCCAGCTCCTGCAGCTCAGGATGCCTGTCTGGTGCTTTGTGGGAAGAAGGGTGTCGGGGAGTCAGTGTCAGATACACTCACCATACACCTTGAGCTGCAGGGTCTGGGTCCAGGCCCGACCTCCTGTGTCCACCATCAGCACCGAGAAATTGCCACTGTCTCTAGACTGCAGGGGCCCGAGCTCCAGGCTGAGGTTGCTGTGCAGCTGGGCTCTGCCCAGGAAGCGGGAGTGGTACAGAGTCTCCAGGGAGCCCCGGAAAAACGTGGCCAGGAGCTCCTCTGAAGGCCAGAGAGATCTCCACATGGCCTCKCGGACTTGGAAGCCTGGAGGATGCTCGGCCACCAGCAGCACGGAGTCCCCCACCTTGCTCAGCACTTGAGCACCAATCACTGCAATGGGAATAAGAGCTGGAAAAACAGAGACCCTGGTCAGTCTGCTGGCAAATCCTCTTCATCCCACTCCTGCATGCAGCTGTGCGGCTCTGGAGCCAATTAGCATCCCCCACCCACATTCCCTTCTCTTCCATTGAGAGTGCACTCTGCAGGGATCCGGTATCCCTGAACAGGAAGAGAAGCTGAGCCCTGTGTACCCGGGAGCTCACAGAGAAGACAGACAAGCAAGTAATTAAAATAAATTGTGCTAAGTACCGTGGTGGGAAGAATGGGTGTCCCAGGAAAACACTGGTAGGGTGATCGGGGACCCTCGCCCAGCCTTGAGGGGCTTAGAGAAGAAGTAGGTAAACTGAGACCTGAAGGAGGAACCTGAACYAGCCAGGTCAAGAGGAGGGCTGTCTAGAAAGGAAGGGGAAGTGCTATAGGCAGAATGTGCTCATGGGGCTGGAGGGAGAGAGCAAGTGTCCTGGGGAACTGAAAGTGGCTGTCTGCAGGGGGAGCAGGAAATGACACAGCAGAGTTGTCAGGGCAGCTGGCTCCTGAAAGCAGCATGAGAATTGGGGCTCTATCTGTAGAGCAATGGGGGTGGGCCAGGATCTCAGGTTCTAAGCAGCAGAGTGACATGGTTAGGAAGTCACTCCAACACTGGCAGTGGGGTGAGACTGAGACCGTTGACATTCATTCAAGGTGCTGATGGAAACTTGAACTGAGATAGAGCCATGGGGTTGGAGAGAAGCAGGATAAATTAAAGTAATTATTATTATTATTATTTCATTTTTGTGCTTGCAATGCCCTCCCTGTTTAGGACCAGGCCGTGGAGAAGCTYAGTACGTTGTACTGAATTTGCTGTAAACTGACCTGTGCCTGGCACAGCAGTAGGATTCCATCCTGTCTCCTCTGGCTTATTTCTGTTCATTCTTGAAAAGTCCTTGCCTCTTCCAGCCTTCCCCGTACTTCACTGCAGGCTACTTGCCCTTTCCCACAGTGGTCATGGATCAGCACTCTGACTAACCTTGTCCTTCTATTATTATTTTCTGTTTCTGATCAACATCGCCCACCAGACCCTGGGTTCTCCAAGGGCAACAACATTTTTTTTTGAAGTACTGGGGATTTAACCCAGGGGTACCCTACCATGGAGCTGCATACTTAGCCATTTTTATGTTATTTTATTTTGAGACAGCGTCTTGCTAAGTTGCCCTAGCTGGGCTTGAACTTGTGACCCAGCTGCTTCAGCATCTCCAGCTGGTCTTAGAGGCATGCACCACGGGACTGGGACAATATCATTTTTTTTCATCTTTGCACCTAAGATGCCTACCTGGTTCAGGTTATAGCAGAAGCTTGTTAAACTATATTGAATTTGCTGGAGACTGATCTTTATATGGCACAGCTGTGGCCCCTGGGGTACAGAGCAGAATAAGGACACATGTGTAATGTACCCAAGTGATGGGAATTGGGTTAAGGAGATATATTATGGATGTTCACTTTGCTGGCTACGATAAATCTTGTCCTTCAACCATCTCACTGGCCTACTGGCCCCAATCACCTCTATCCCTACTGGAGATGGCTTTACATACAGATAGAATTTCACTGGATGTCAATCAAGACCTAGGTTCTATCCAGTCCTGGCTCTGCCATAAATCAGCTGTGTGACCTGAGAACATCATCTTTCCTAAGTGTTAGTGGTCTTGCCTATAAAACAAGGGGGCTGTACCAGATCATTTGGGGTTGATCTCTTTTGTCACGGAGAGCCCTTTAAAAATTCATTTAAGGTCTGGGGATRTAGCTCAGTGGTAGAGCATCTGCTGAGCATGTGCAAAAATAAACAAAAATTATTTTAAAAATATCCACATGTCCAAAGTCTAGGACAATGTCCTCACATGTTCATTTGAYTTGAAAATTTTGTGAATCCTTGAAGAGTTAGGCTCTTCTGAGGGTTAAGATATGATTTCCCCCATATACTTAGAAGTGCTGAAGGAATCTGCAGGGCCTTTGGAACTCTTGTGGCCAGGAACTTAGGTGGGGATACTGGACAAAACAGTCTCAAAGTCCCTGTGAGTCTCTGATGTTAACAGTGCGACTTGATCTCTTCCACACCCCATGACTCCCATCCCTGGCCCTGCAGGATCTGACCAATGTCATGTTGGCTACCTGTTGACCAAGGAGGGGAACTTGGGCATCAGACTGATGGAGGGATTGCCCCCCGACGAGACCCATATCTCAGCCATTCCAATACCACACCACTGCTGGCCACCCTCAAGTTCACATGGACCCTATTTATCTGACTCTTGCCTTTCCTCTTACTCAGTATCCACCTCCCCTTGCCCAGGCCTTCAGGGACCCCAGTTTTCCCACATGAAGCTGGAAATACAGTTCTCAGTTTGTAAGGAGCCCTGTTCTGCCGGGCCTTCATCTCTCTCCAGATGGTATATAGAATTCTCATGTGTTAACATTGCCAGAGCCTCAACGTTCCCACATTCAACTTTCTCTCCAAACCAGAAGTGCAACTGGCTCAGTTCTAACTGTCCTGGGCCACAAATAGCTCATATCTCCAGGATTCTGATGGTCCTAGTGCTGCCACCTCTTCCCACCCAGATCTCTTTGTCTCTGCCTAGCATTTGATGTCGCTCAAGAACTTGCTGTGCTTGCTCTTCTCTARCTCTCCCTGGTTCCTAGGTTCACATTTGGCTTGGGGCCTGGACTGGCCAGCACAGCTGGGGACAAGCCATCCACCTGTCCCACTCACCTTCCCAGAGAAGCAGATTCCATAGGAAGCACGTGGCCATCCTTCTCCGGAGAAGCAGGCGAACTCCTTCGACAACCAAAATCCAGCACATCCCGGGCCAAGTGGATGCATGGAAGGAGCTGYGGTCCTTCTGGAAAGTCCCACATTCAGAAGGAGGAATCTTGACTCAGAACAAGATGCCCTGAAAGTGAAAACATCCCAAGTAAAGTGGAAGTTGGCTGCCGGCCTCGCTGGGTCTTCARGAGCCGATTCTTGTAAACCAGGCTCTTTCCTGTGCACATGGTTGTCTAATGCGTGGTGGCAAACACCCCTGCACAAGCTCATGTGTCCCTTGCTGTTACCAGAATTTCCTGCATCCAAACCTACCCACGGAGAGCCCTCAAAACTGCAATTTCTACCAAGTTGCTTCTCTTCTCTTTCCTAGACTTCTGCCACCCTCAGGATAAAGACTGAATTGTTGGCTTAGATGGAGAGGCTGTTTGTYTTCTCCAGTCTGGCKGCCCACATCCCCTCTGCTCTCTGGCCTCCCCAGCTAGAACTACCTCTTTTCAGAACGGCTCCTTTCACACTTCCATGTGTCTTATTTTTTCCTCTACCAAGAATGCTGTTCCACTTACTCTTGCAGGCTGGGCATGATTCTAAGGCCAGCCACGYTCCAAGGCCAGGGAGAACCCCTTCTCCGTTGCCCTTATGTGTACCCCACTCTTCCCTTAGCATGTGGGTTGTATCAGTTTTCGGTTTTCATGAGCTCTTTGGCCAGCAAGATCTTGGATTCACTTCTTTACTCCCCTCAGGGCTTGGCGCGTTATAGATGTTTAAGGTCTAACGAAGCTGGATGCAGCGGTGCATGCCTATAATTCCAGGGTACTTGGGAGACTGAGGCAGGAGGATCACAAGCACAAGGCAAGCCTGGGCAGCTTAGTGACATCCTRTCTTGAAATAAAAAATAAGAACAACTGGAGATGCAGCTCAGTGGTAGAACACCCTGGGTTCTATCTCTAGTACTGGAAAGGGAGGCTATAATCTRACCAATGGGCAAATGAATTCTAGACACAGGTCCTCATTTGGTTTTATGTAAGCCCTATAATTCTCACAAAGGGCGTTCTGATAACCCTGGTCGAGGTGGGAATTTTTATTTTTATTTAYTTATTTTTGCTACTGGGGATTGAATCCAGTGGTGCCTCACCATKGAGCTACATTTCCAGTCTTTTTGTTTTTGTTTTGAGACAAGGTCTCACTAACTTGCCCAGGTCAGCCTGGAACTTGTGATCCTCATGCCTTGGCTTCTCGAGTTGCTGGCATTACAGGTGTGCAGCACTACACCYGGCTCAAGGAAGGCTCTCCAAGTTGCTACCACTGGGGAAGGGTCCTGATTGTCCCGAATGAGGCTCATTGGGTAGTCTGGTCCTGTCTGGTCTGTGACTGACCGGTCACTCACATTGCCTGTGACCATACTTTGAAGTCAGCCAGAAACGAGGCATACAGTGTGTGGGACAGAATTCCTGCCCTTCAGATTCTCACAATCAAAATGTAGCAACAGAAATGCCAGGAAAGGCCAAGGCCTGCTGGCAGAGAGGCACTGCTCTGTGCCAATGGGCCATCCACAAAGCCAGCGCTGCAGAAGGGAGCGGGAAGGGGTCTCCACTCATGGGCACAGGGTATGCTTCCCGAACGGGCAGAATTCGAACGACACCTTGAAAACGGGCATTATTTAGATAGAAAGAGGAAAAGGGGAAGGCCAAAGGTTGGGCGCCGGCCATGAGCATGGAGAGTAGAGCGTGCAAAGACGTGGCCGTGGGATTGTACCAAGTAGGCTCCAAGGACACCAAGGGACAGCAGGAGGAATACTTTAGGATGGTGTGAACTAGTGATTAGCAGTAGTGGGAAGGATGGAAAGGGAGGGATTAGATTACAGAGGCCTGGAATAGTGGGCTAAGTTATTCTGGAGGTCAGTGGTTCTCACTTTTGTTCAATACTGGGGTTCTTAGGGATCCTGGCTCAGTGGGCGGGGATGGGCCCAGGAACCTATGGTTCTAACAAACATTCTTCTCTAGGTGACAGTGTGGCCAGTGGACTGAGGGGATGCCATGAGAAGCACTGATTAGAGGCAGGGGACTGTCTGTTTTGGGCTAGGGTAACTTCCCAGTGAGAGGACAGAGTACAGGGCAGGCTGGGAGAGAAAGAAGAGACAGGGAAGCCTGCTGAACAGCCTGTCATGCTGGTCCTGGTAAAGGAGAAGGGCCTGAAGTAGGAAGGAAATGTCGGCAGTGGAAAGAAASCTGGGTTTGAGGCAGAGGGAGAGTCCTGGCAGAATTGGAAGCTGCCTGGCTGTAGGATAGAGGCCAAAGGAGGGGAATCATTTATGACTCTATTGTCAATTCTATCATTCATTCATCTGGCATTTATTGAGCATCTACTTAGGTGCCAGGTGCTGGGGACACAGAGATGAAAGGCTTAGTTCCTGCCCTTAAGGAGTTCAGAGTTTAGAGGAGGAGATGGAATATGTAACCCRATAATTACAATCAGTGTGGCAAGAATAATGCTGGAAGTGTGCACGGGATGCTCTGGGAGCCAGAGGGCACAGGCCTGCCCCCGCCTGGGTGGGAGGCTTGGGAAGGCTTAGTGGAAGGGCTGGTGTCCCAGGTGTCTTAAGGGTACAAATGGATGAGGGAGGGTGGGATAATAGCTCAAGCTCTAGGTTTAGACTTGGGATCCAATCTTGGCTCTAAAATCATGCACAAAGTMACCTCTTGGCTTCCAGGTGCTCATCTGCTGAATGGAGGCTGATCATAGCATGATCATAGCATGTACTGCCAGTGAACACCTGTAAGGGTTTCTAATGCTTCTTGCATAGACACAGTGAGCACTCAAACATTGTCATTGCTACAAAATGGCTAGAGATGGGAGAGGTGAAAACCGYCCAGATGGGATAAAGGTGTGTTTGAGGCTGGGTAGCCCCCTGCTCTGAATCTCTGCTTCCAGACTGGGAGCTCCATGAAAGCAGGACTGAGTTACTTTATTTCTGCAGCCCGTTTATTGCCAAGGACAGGCTTTCCAAGAGGCGATGGCTTCCAAGCATCTGTCAGACTGGATGGAATTATTCTGGAGAGACTGGGAGGGATGCAAGAGGGGGGCAAGCTTGGAGCGAGATCCTGAATTCCTTCCAAGGAGACAGCAGGCAATCATTGTCCCTCGTAGCAGAATTGTTTGTCCATTGTGGTCCCCTGACCTGTCCCCTCCCTTCTCCCCTCACCCAGAGCCCCTTTCCTTAACAGGTGTTTTGCAGAAACGGAGGGGAAGGAGGATGAGTGAGGTCTCTAAAATATCCCATCCAAAGGGAAAGCCTGAGCCAGCAGTGCCACAGCTGGAGAAAGGCGATGCTGCTGCCCAGATGCAGGGAAGGGTTAAGTCTTCGGCAGGCTGGTTCTCCCACTACTGCTAATCRCCAGCTCACACTACATTAATTACCCAGCCACAGGGGGCAGTGCGCTGGAGCAAATTAGCTAGTAAGTTCAAAGGGGCCACTCCCCGCATTCCTTAATTAAGAGAGCAGCTGGCAGTCGGGGCTGCTACTCCACCTCCCTGGGGCCTTTCTGGGAAGCCAGAGTCAGGTGGAGTCTGYGCTTGCAGAGGCCAGAGGAATAGCTCCATCTGCCTGGTGGAGGAGCCTGCACCCCACCCGTAGTAGCCCACCTCCACTGCTGGCTGCGAAAAGGCAAGGGGTGGGGTGGGAAGGAGCAGGTGTTAACCATGACCCAGCAACTGTGCAGTGCCTGAACTTGACCATGAACCTGGAGCCACTTGGTGCAGAGATTCAGGCCTGTAGAATTTGGAGGAGAGTGCACCAAGCTGCACGTATTCCATCCTCTGTCTCTGAGGGCCGAATGGGGCCGTGCTTCTCCCCAGTGGGAGGAGGTAGAGAAGGAAAAAGAAGAAGGGGGTGCTTACAGAGTTGAGAGAAAGGGGAGGAAGGCTGGAAAGGAGTCAGAACAGTTGTTGAAGAAGGAGAGACCCATCCAGCAGGCTGCCGGGGAGCTAAGAGTCAGGGAGGGCATCTACTTAGGTGCCAGGTGCTGGGGACACAGAGGGAAGGACACAGGGCTTTATGGGGAGTGGGTGCAGTTTTGAGGAGATGGGTGGGCTGGGGACTGAGGGAACAGGTAAAACTCCACTGCTGGGTGGATCCTAAAAGGACTCAGTGTTTTGGACTGAACTCCAGCATCAGGCCCAACGGACCACCCAAACCAGAATGGAGGCCCTCACGCCAGGTGCCGTGTAATCACACTGGACTTTAAATAGGCGAGTTTTCAAAACCCAAGAAATTCACAGCAGCCAATCAGGAGGGGACCAGTTTACTTGCATCTAAGGAAGTCGCCTCAGTTTTAGCCCTATCAGGAGAGGAACTTTGAGATGACCAATCCTCCATCTTGTTCCCTGTTTCTGTTTTCTTCCGCCCTTTCGGCCTGTAAAGCCCAGCTCCCCTACTCGGCTCCTCAGAGTGCATTTAGATGGATTGCTGCCCCAATTTGTGGATTGCTAATCACAGCCAATTAGGTCATTTAACCTCATTTGTTGAAGTGTTTTGCTTTGATTTTTGTGGTACCGGGGATTGAACCCAGTGGCTACATTTCCAACCCTCCCTGTTTTTTTTTTTTTTTGAGACAGGGTCTCACTAAATTGTCTAGGCTGTCCTCAAATTTGGATTCCTTCTGCCCCAGCCTCCCAAGTATCTGGGATTACAGGCATGCACCACCTTGCCCAGCTTGAAGTATTGCTTTTTAATACCACCTAAGCCCACCTGCATGATCTGTATTCAAACAWGCMACCAGAMCCTTGCAGCCTCTCCCACATGGCCAGTTTAGGCAGCTGTGGGGAGAAAGCTGGGTTTGGGGCAGAACACCCTGGAAGGAGCCACGCCTCTGCCTTTTCTTAGGAAGACTTACTGTTGCTGAATTTCTGCAGGTGTGCAATGGATGTGCCTTGGCTCCTGAGAGACAGGGCTGGTGTGGCCCTGAATCTCTGTTCTTCCTTCATTTTTTTGCCTAAAATATACCTTTCCTRCTTTACTCCAATTCTTTCTCTCCTGAAATTAGGCAGAATTAATGGAATCTTTAATGAACTAGGGGCATATTGTACACAGCTGGAGTGGGAGAAACCTAAGAGAGAGGAGAAAGAGTGAGTGGGAYGGAATACTGCAGGAGGGAGGTATGAGGGCCCTGCAGCTCTAGGTCTGCTCTGCTTTTGAGGCCATGATGCATCTTCCCAGAGATGCGAGGGGAGGCTGATTAAGATGAAATGAAGCCACAATCGTGCTTTATTGAGGTAGAGAGGGGAAACTGGAGGCTCATTCATGCATTCGCTCCTTCACCGAACACTTGTTTGATTCCCATCTTGTGCAGGCTAATGCATCAAACATTTATAGAGCATCGAGCTTGTGTAAGCCCGGTGAGGTCAGGAACTCATGCTGATGATGACAGCGAGCATGCACCAAAGAAAAAAGAAGCCATCTCTGTTGATCTGTGCCCTGCGTGTCGTGGGAAGGAATTCCAGAAACAAGTAGAACATACGGTTGTTCTTTCAGGGTCCGAGAGAAGAATTCCTGTGAGTATAGGCACGGGGAGCAATGCCTGCTGTAGGAGCCGACTTGTGGATGACTCCGGGTCTGGGAAGCTGCAGGTATTCCAGAATATGTGGCAGCACATAAAATACTCCCACACTGGATTCTTTCCATGCTGTATAGTCTGTCAGTAGTCAACACTGCCAAAGTTAATACAAAGAGGAAAGACTCAGAACTGTTTAGTGGATACTTATTTAAATAAAAAACGTGGACCTTAGTTCCTAGCCAGATCTAAACGAACAAACCTGGAATTGAAGAAATTCAAATGCATGTGCCACTCTTGGTTTAGGAGGCCGTTTTCAGCTTGTGTCTAACAATGAAGTCGTCCAAGGGGTGGGTCAGACCTCGGTGGACCCTGGTGTGTAAGTCCCTGACTACCGGAGAGGGCCACTAGAGGGCGATATGAGGCTCCCAGCTGTGCGTTTCTTTGTCTTTCCCTGAAGGAGCATGTCCAGGGTGCCTCTCCACCCTCAAGCAGCTACTGAGTTGTGCTTTCCTTTCTCTTTGTCCATTAGGTAAGGGGACCTAAGGTATCCCAGATCTCTAGAAAAGTCACAGCCAACTCACTCAAAAAAGTGTTTGCATTTAGTGCTGACTTGGTGAGAAAAAAGAATATGTCACAGCCTGGAGAAGGCAGGGAGGAGGATGGACAGTTTCCTGACCACTGTGGTCTGGAGCCTGTGGCAGGCAGCACTTTCCGGTCTCCTCTTTGCCCTTCCTCAGTATCAGCAGGGTCCAGTCCCTAGAGAACTGTGGATGTCCCATTCTCCTGGGGCCCTTCTGGCCTGCTCCCCAGCGTCCTCCAGGATCAGAAGCAGGTTCCTATTCCCACAGCTGAAGCTGGGAACGGGGATTGGGTGGGGAGGCTGGTGTGCTGATAACCCACAAGCCAGCAAGAGTCTGGGCTCAAAGGCGTGCGTCTCTGAAAACTCGACTTTCTCTGTGTTCTCCCCCCACCCCCGCCCTGCTTCAGTTTTCTTTGTAATGGTTCATTTTGAAAAAATTCCATTTCATTCTTTTTTTAAACTAAGGGAAAATGATGTTGTCAGCTGTGCAAGTAGAGCTGGAGGTGGGGAGAGATTCTAGGGAGAGAGAGCCAGTGCCTGAGCAGCCAGGTCAGGGGAGTGTGTGTGTGTGAGAGAATAAGAGGATGCGTGAGTGGGTGTGTAGATAGGGCTTCTGACCCGTCTGCGCGGAAGAACCCGTTTTTCTTTTATATTTCCAATCCATTGTGGACCTATACTTTTGGTAGAATACAATAAAAGCAAATTACTAGAAAAATGAAATAAAAAAAAGACATGCATACAAAAGACGAGCCCTAATTTTTTATGATTGTGTTAAACAAACATAAAATTACTCTGTCAGATTGCTATAAAAGTTTCTCAATTCTTGCTGTAATTTTTCTGCTTATCTTGTCCTGGACTAGTAAAAAAAGCCATTTACAGACTGGCACCAGTTTGGGGGGGGTCACATATTGTGTAGTGCTGCTGTTTGGGGGCAGGGTGGGGAAAGGCAGGGCACCTTGGGAAGGAGGTGCTCTGTGGTCTATGGGTCAACGGGAAGGGCTGGTTCCTTCCTGCTCCCCATCATCGGTGTCTCCCTTCACGACCTGACATGTGCTCCTTTTGGGCTTTTTATAAGGGGTTGATTCTTCCATAGAGGGTGTGGCAAGGGCTTGGGGTTCTGTGGGTGCATCCCAGCTGACCCACGAAGACCCTGTGCTTCTAGATTATCTGGCTTGTGCTCCTCTGTCCTCCCAGCAGGATCTCTGATGGTTCAAAAAGGGGAGTGTGTTCTGGACAGGCAACGAGAGAGATAGGGAGGAGGATGAGGAAGAGGAAGAAGCAGATGTTGAGAGGATGGAGTGGGAGGAGGGAGGGAGGAAAGGAGATAGAAGTAAAAAAAGAAAAATGCTAGCATGGGTTTTCTTACTAGCTCCAAGTCTCTCTGTCTTCATKTGGAATAGAACCACAGGTAATTTAGCACCCAGAGATGAGTGAGTGGATGTACTTCCAGAATCTATCTTGTTAATCTGCATGCACATCACCTGGAGATCTTGTTGCCATGCAGATTCCCATTCAGGAGATCTGGGTGGCTGCCTTCCTAATTGGCTCCCAGGTGATGTCAATGCTGCTTGTCCCAGGGACACGGAGTTAGTAGCTCAGATGTAAGAGCCCAGAGCTCTCTGATAAAGTTGATGCCTCCTTCACAGGCAGTGAAGGTGGGGGTCTGGTGTGGTCTCCATCTGTAAGATGAACTTCACTTTCTGCAGTTCCAACAGCAGGAGCCTATGAAGCCAGGCCAGGGCCTCGCAGGAACAAGTGTAACTAACCCTTGACCACTCTCAGGAATCAAGAAGTGCGAACTCCTTGAACAAACCAAACCACACTGTCAGGCATGGCGAACGACGGACCATGATGAACAATACAAAAGGAATCGATGTATTTCTATTAACAGAATGCATTTTACAACCACGTATCTTTTTAAACCAGTAAGGGGCTCACACGGGGGCTCTGGGCCAGCCTCAGTTCTGTCTTTGGTGAACTGGAAGGGCTGGGAACAGAAATGGGGTTGCAGGTAAAGGCAGAGTCCTTGGTACCTGGAGGGCTCTGGGCCCCGTTGTCAAGAATTCTATGATGTATCGGGGCCAGAAACTTTGCTGGCTGACCTTGGTCTTGCTGGACCTCGGAGAGGCTCCTTAGCTTTGTGGTCACTCATGGTTCTTGGCAGCAGCTTAAAATTCATTACAGAGCTGCCTGCCCCAGGACCAGTCTTCTGGGATGTGGAGATTGATGCTTTTTCCTTTCAGGGTCAAGACGAATTCATGCTCGAGCATTCTCTCTCTCTCTCTCTCTCTCTCTCTCTCTCTCTCTSTMTAAAATATTTCTCTCTTTCAGGAAACTATTTCACTTGTGTGGAAAGAAGACATCTGTGGCTGTGTCCAGTGTCACTTCTGCCACCTAAATGTGTGTACTGGAGGGGATGTCCCTTCCCACCCCATTGATGGCCTTCTGTTGAGAGGGGAGCCCACAATTCAGGAGTTTCTGACCAGTATCAGGGCCCAGGGGCTCTCTCACTGCTGGACTCAGACCACTGACTGCCCCGGGGAGCAGTGGAGGCTGCGTGTGGGTATAGGCTGCGGGGAGGGGAGGCCATCACTGGTAGAGAACATCCTTGCAGTCACCGAAGAGATCTTGGTGTGCCTGGCTTCTTGGGTTCAATTCTTTGCAGGACGTTTCTTGGGCCGAGAGTGGGTCATCTCTGTGTAGACAGAATTGTCCTGCGGGAGTGCTGGATCAGGATGGGGAGGCAGATGTAAGACAGAGGGTAGGGAAAGAGCAGGGATSCGTCTGCCTCACCTCTGGGAGGGGAACTTGTCCCCAGGCCTGGCTGTGGGGGACAGAGGGACTCGGGTCAGGGCACCCATGCTCGGAGACACATCTCCTCCCCACCTCCTCCAGGCCATCCCTCTTCCYCCAGAGAGCATAAACCCAGCCCAGGAGATCACATTTTTAACTTGTACTCAATATGAGAACAGACAGAACTGGGTAGGGATCGGGAGACGTGGGTTCTAGTCCTGATCTGACCCTCACCAATTGTGTGGCCCCAGGCCAACACCACCACCACCACCAACAACAAAAGTTAATAATAACTTCCTCACGATGGCCAGTGGTTTTAATGAGACTCAAAAGAGATGAAAGTTTAAAAATGCCTTTAAAATAACCACCATATTAGACTCCTACTGTATAACCGGCAACCTTTGAAGTATGAGGATTATATTTATTATATGGAACCTCACGTGAATCTTGCAAAGTAGGGATTATGAATTCATTTTCATATTAGGATGAGAAATCTGTCACTTTTGGTTGAATCAGGAACTGTAGGTACATAGTGAGTCTTTACAAACTTCAAAGATTCTCTCATTGATACGAGATCCTGTGGCATATTTCCTAATCATCCTGGAATATAATATCCTCTCCTTATTTTAAGTTTCAAATCCCACACATCAAGGAAGCCTATCTAGGGGAGTCATGAATTGGAAGCTGATCATCAACCCCACCTCAGCCCTCAAATCATGCCTTTACCCTTTGTTTTCCTATTAGGGTTAAAAGTGGTCAGATTTTCCTTAATTTGCCAATGAAAACCATATATTTGGGGGGTTCCTTTTTCTTTCTTATGTTTAGGTCCTTATTGTAACTCTTTTTTTTTTTTTTTTTTTTTGGTACTGAGGGTTGAACCCAGGGTGCTGGACCATTGAGCCACATCCCTAGTCCTTTTTTATATTTTACTTAGAGACAGGGTCTTGCTGAGTTGATAAGTGCCTTGCTAAGTTGCTGAGGCTGGCTTTGAGCTTGCAATCCTTCTGCCTCAGCCTCCTGAGCTGCTGGGATTACAGGCATACACCACCATGCCTGGCTCATTGTAACTCTTATCAGGAAAGAACTGGGTCTGTGTTTGCTTCTCATGCCCTGGCAATGCTTTGGGCAGTAACCAGCCAGGTTCTGGAGAATTACCCCTGAGTTGAGACACCTTGGCTGTCCATTCGCCGCAGTCTCCTTCATGGGAAGGAGAGGCTGAGTCCAACCATTTTTATAGACAAGGAATCGAAATATTAGAACAGGTGAGCAATTAACAACAACAACAACAACAACAACAAACAATTCCCTGGTTTTGAACATCTGTTACATGCCAATTTTTAAGATTGACTTCTACAACCCAGGTTCTATTCCTAACAACTTCTAAGAGTCTTTAGACATTGTCCTCATTTTATAGATTAGACTCGGAGAGTTTACATGACTTATTAGAGTGGTGGTTTGTAGGAGATGGTTGTAGTGAAGGAGTTTGTGGTGGTTGTGATGGTGGTRAAGATGGTCGTGATGGTGATGAAAGTGGTGCTGGTGGTAGTGAGGGAGGGATTGATGGTAGTCCTGATGGAAAGTGGTAGTGATCAGGATAGTGAAGGACAGGCTGGTGGTGGTTTTGGTAATGTTGATGATGGTAGCAAAACTGGTGGTAATGATGATTGTGCTGGTGGTCATGGTGATGGAGGTAATGAATAAGAGGATGGTGGTGGTTAGTGAGGCGGTGTTGGTAACAGTAGTACTGGTGGTGGTAATGGGAATAATTACACACTTGCATCCTAGTCCCAGGACGGTGTTGGTAACAGTAGTACTGGTGGTGGTAATGGGAATAATTACACACTTGCATCCTAGTCCCAGGACTTCCAAGCTTGGCCACAGTTCACTCACCTTCTTTCCTCTTGGTATGCGCCAGAGAGTAGGTAACATTTTCACCTTTGTCTTTCTGGTAATGTACTGGAAGAAGGAAGGAAGTTTAAACGGGATTTACTTGACTCTCCCACCTYCAGCCGTGAGTGTCTTGAAGACACTTACAGAGGGAATCCAGTCAGGGGCTTTGTCCTGGTGATAACTAGCTGTGGAGATCTATCAGTAATGTGGGGGTATTCATCCTGTCAGGTGCCTGCCCCCCTCAACAGACTTTAGCAGTTTTCCTAGCCTGTTTAAACCAAAGGTCGACAAACATTTATATGAAAAAACAGTAAATGTTTTAGGCTTTGTGGGTTGTATCTTTTCTTTCTCTCTCTCTCTTTTTTTTTAATATCTTTGTTTCATTTATTTATTTTTTATGTGGTGCTGAGGATCGAACCCAAYGCCTCACGCCTGCGAGGCAAGCGCTCAACCACTGAGCTACAAGCCCAGCCTAGGTGGTATCTTTTCTCTTGCAGTTATTCAACTTTATAGTGTGATAGTAGCTTTATAAAATATGTAAGAAAAAAAATGAATGTGGCTGTGTTCTAATACAACTTTATATTTACAAAAACAGGCAGCAGGCCAGGTTTGGTCCATGGGCCGTGGTTTGCTGACCTTTGGTCTAAACCCTCCTTGTCTTCTTCCCTGGAGTCCTGGCTCCCTTTCGGCCTCCCTCTCCCATCACCAGCTCCACAGCACTCGTTACTCAGACTCTCCCTTGAGGCTGTCATCTTCCTCTCCCAGATGACTCTGATTCTAGAAAACTCTGGGCTCAGGGAGACCTCCTACACCAACAAGAGGGCCTTGTCCACTTCCTGGACAGGGGGTGGTCCTGCTGGACGTCCTTACCATTTGCATACAGCGGGCACTGCTCTCCTCCTGGAGCTGAGGGTAGACTCCGGGATGGAAGGGTCCCTAGGAGACACACAGGCACAATTTCCTGAGCCTCCCTCACAGAGCAGGTGGAAGAGTGGGGACAGAAAGTCTGTGAGGAGGATGGTGGCAGAGCTGCCCGAGGCCTGCGGCTGGCTGGTTTATGAGGCTTAATTCACAGGTCTGGACACGATTCACTTTTATGGGATGTTTCTTTTGAAAAACACCCTAGAGGGTAGGATGGCTCCATGGGAATCACCAGCTGGAGGAAGCAGGGTCAGGAAGGATGGGTCACACCCTTGTACAGAAAGGGCCCAGACCCACCAGCTAGGCCGCTTTGGGGAAGGAGGACAAGCTGATAATGTTGACCACTTACTATGTGCCAGACCCTGGACTGGGAATGTCATGTAAAATGTCTCCTTCATACTAAAGCACTTCACCCAGTGASCAGCACATAGTTGGACTTCCAAAAGTCTCCCTTACTAAGTCTTTGGTGCTTGGTATTGTTTATCATCATCTCGCAAAGGTGGATACTGTTATCTCCATTTGATAGATGAGGTGACTGAGGCCGACCCAGGTGACTTCTTCAAGGTCATAGTCATTGGGGAAATCAGAAGCTAGGTCTGTATGCTTTTTTCCTCCCCTAGCATTCTGCCTTTAGAGAGTAGGTGCTTCCAGAATGGGAAATTAACTGCTAGGGCAGGAACTGTGTCACCTGTGGGTTCCAGAACACTCGGTTTCTGCCTAGYGCCCGAGACGTGCTCATTAGCTCTAACATCAAGAAGGCACCACAGTCACCAGGTAGCACCTGTGGAAAAGGTCCCTCCTGTAAAACCAAGAGGGCATTTATGGCGACTCAGACGGGGCCCCTGGTTATTAAACTTCCCTTAATGCTCATCTGCTAGGGCTGTGATTCTGAGTCTCCCTCCAATGAAGAGYTCCATGAAGTGGATGGAACTCTGTTTTATGGGAGGTGTGACAAGTAGTAAAATGAACACTTTTCAACAAACACCCCAAACTTGAACATGTGGGTGAATGCTGCTTTGAAGTGCACTCGTACGTGACAATGACACCATCATTGGTCAATATGTTTTGGAAAAACTGCCTTCAGACATTCAGTCCTTTGGATGTTTGGTTTGTGGCTTTTGTAGTTGAGCAATGGATATGCTATCTGGAAATAGCTGAGAGTCTTGTAGAGGAGGGTATGAAGAATAAAGCTGTTAAAATGACTGTTTTTTTCTTGTGTGGCTGTGGAATTGGGGCTGAAAGTGGCTTTTTGAGTAATGTTCTAAAGTGTATTCTGTGCTCCTGAGAATCTGAGATATCAGGAGCACCACCAGGAGTCCTGTTTGCRTGAGGGATGGGCCCCTTTGTAAAATGGAGCGTGTCTGTCCCCCCCCCCTCCCCCCGTCTTGTCTGGGGCTGGGGAGGGAGGTGGCTGTATATGTTACCTGCCTTTAGTACTCGGATCCAGAGATAAGTGGACAGAAATGCCTGTGTTACTGAGGCCAAGCCGGGCCGTTGGGGAGGCTTTATTACAGAGGCAGGGATGGTGGGACTCACAGATCTTTGGTTTGTGGTCCCTTGGTCTCCCCACCCTGTTCTGGGTCTGTCTCCACCTTCTCCTACCTTATAGAGATACCTGAGAGCAAATGTAGCCTGCAGACTTAAGACTAGTGGGAAGGAGTGCCCCTTCTCCTGCTGTTGGGTGGGTAAAAACTGTGAACTGATGAGAACTGATGCGAACATTAAAAAGGAGAGAGGAACTTGAAGGATAGCTCAAACCCTAACTGCTGAGGCGAGAGACTGGGGCTGGGGCTGGGGAGAGCACCTTGCAGATAACTTGGTTGACGGTCAAGGAAAGCTTTGGATGAATGACTGGGTGGTATTCCTTGACCACCTTGGGTGGCTCTGCCCTGGGACAACTTCTCATATCTTAACAGTGGGAGCTGAACACTTGAATAAGTAAATCTATGAGAGCTATTGCTTTTGCCCTAGACAAGTAGAAAATAGGAACATTGCCCCAGTGGAGAGGAAAGTAGGGTTGATTTAAACCCCTGTAGGCAGAGGTAAAGCCCCAGGAACACACTGGCACCGAACAGCTCTGGCACTGATACCTATTCCTTTAAATGTGACCTGAAGGGAACGTGGATGAGTTGGGATAAACATGGAGTCACCCAAAGTGACGGCTCTGAAAGCCAATGCTCGTCACCAGGCTTCATCATCATCACCAGGACAGGAAGAAGAGGAATCTGGGGTATCAAAATTAATAGGTGGCCTCTGAATTCTACGTCTCTGAATATTTTCACTCCTTCTCTATAGAATCCTCAATGTCAGAATTTTAACTAAGCCTTTGATTTTTAGTGAATTGGATTAGAGGAACTAGAAAACGAACAGCAGGAGAAAGGGCAGCCTGTGGAACCTGCTGGGGTCGTCTGCTCGGACTGGAACGAGAACTTGCTAAGCACCTGCTACCTGCCAATCAAACACGTTAGGCAGGAGATGCACGATGTCTCATTAACTCACATCTTTACAACATCCCTGAGAGGAAGACGATTCGGTGAGTCTTAGAATGAACTGGCCTAAGGCTACGGAACTAGTAAACAGCCGTGTTGGGACCAGGCCATCGCTCAGCCTCTCTGTCATGTTTCATTTTAAATGAGTCAATATTCATGAACAACACTATTCAAGGTATGTGTGTGTGTGTGTGTGTGTGTGTGTGTGTGTGTGTGAGAGAGAGAGAGAGAGAGAGAGAGAGAGAGCACATATGCACTGTAGGTCTCATTTTTTCATTCTGTTCTATTAGCTCACCAGAGCTCTGCTGAGTTTAATGAGAGAGTTGGAGGCCTTGGTTTCTTTTTAGTCATATTTATGACCACAAATGATTTTTTTTTTTAACGCGAAGGACAGGGATATACATCACATTTGGCTTGGAAGAATCCCTTCATCTGTGCTTCTGTTCATGTTAGTGTTCAGTTGTGTGTGTTGTGCCTCCCTGTATGCCTGTGGGCATGTGAGATAGAGTGTCTGTGTCTSTGTGTGCGTAGGTTCCGGATGCTAGATGTGTCCCTCCATGTGCTCTTTTGTATGACATGGGAAGAGAAATCCCTCCTCCCACCCAACACTCAAGAGAAGAGAGTGTCTGATCTTGACAAGTGCTGGCTTCTCAAAGGCTGGGCAGTGACTGGCCTAGGGATTCAGCCATGCAGGAAACCCAAAGAGTTACTAACCAGCTTTCCTCCAAGGTCTGAAATAAGCTAGAAGTCCAGCAGCAATGACCATCAGGCCCAGCATACATGCAAGGAGCCAGGCAACCAGCCGGTTGCTGCTGACAAAGGTGGACATGTCTTGAGAACCTGGGGGAGGAGGGAGGAGAGGTGACCATGAGCCTTGAGGATGAATTTCAGAAATGCAACCCAGACTGGCACAGAGAGAGGCAGAATGACTGACTTTAGGGGAAACATACGGTCCCRGGGAGCCTTGAAAGGGGAATGAAGGATGGCTCAGAGGATACCTGTATAATCAGGTAGTGTCATGGGTGACCATATAACCTCCCCCACCCCCCGCCAAACAAGGTCCCCCACTCCCTGCCAGGTTCAGTGGACAGTTCCTTCTGTTGGGGCCCATCTCAGTCATGCAGAGCCTGCCCCGAGCCCATCATTGTGTTGGGTGTGACCAGACTCTTGCCAGGTTTCTGGGGCTCAGAGCCTGGTGTGGGGACAAAACGTACCATTCACAGAGAGCTTTACAGGCCCACTGCTGGCTCTGGAGATGATGTTCTCAGCCTCACAGGTGTAGTTCCCAGCGTCCTGCTCTGACTTCAGTAGGAAGCGAAGGGGGGCGGCTTCCCYGTGGAGAGCTGAGTAGTTCCCCAGGATCTCCCCGTTGAGATAGAACGAGTACAGGATGGGAGGGGAGCCCCGTTCAGCCTCACAGTGGAGCTCCACCACGTCCCCCACCGCAAGGCCAGCAGCCCTGGGTTGCAGAGTGAGCAGAGGACGAGACACAGGAGCTGGGACAGCACATGGGGTAGAAAAGTCAGCCTGACTGTCAGATTCCAGGGCCCCTCCTCCCGTGGGACCCTCCCCCACTCCCCAGGGGTCCTGTGGCCTGCCACCTGGAACCCTGGGGACTGTGGCCCCTTCCCTCACCCATTTACCCTGCACCTTGATCTCCAKCGGAGGACTCTGTTTCTGGACCCTGTGACCCTCAAGGGCCACCTTACACCAGTAAAGCCCAGAGTCTCTCTCCTTGACTTCTGGGATGGAGAGCTCTGGGTGGAGACTCCTTTCCTGCAAAGTGTGGCCATTCTTATGGAAGGAGAAGAAGAGCTGCCAGGAGGACTTCTGGGGATGCGGCTTCGTCTGACATCTCAGGGTCAATGGGCTGTCCTCGCCAAGTTCAGGAGAGGGGATGGCACTCAGYACAGGAGGCAGGAAGAGCTCTGGGAAGACACGGGCCCAGGGCTCAGGAGGGGAGTCCTGGACAATGAGGCTTAGGAGGCCAAGGMCTGAGCTCAGGCTGCAGCTCCTTGACCCACACGGGAGACAGTTCCATCCCCAGGACCTGTCTTCTTGTCCCCACCCACCAACTCTGGAACAACTCCCACACAGCCAAGCAAGCCCTCTGGAATCCCAGGAGTCAGAGCCAGAAGGCCCCTTAGCAGTCATCTGGTCCACAGAGAAAAAGATCAAGTGACTAAGCTGGGCCAGGGCTCTTTCCAATTCACCCTCCTTCCCCTGGCTCCAGACATGGCCCGTGGGGGTGAGGAGGACATTTAGACACCATCATGAACCCTTGGGACCCCAAGCACTGGCCCCACATCAGGGGTGGTCAGAGAGAGAAGTCCTGCCCAGAGGGCTACTGACCTCTAGAGACTGGATCCCTGAGCAGCATCCTACCGCCCCACCAACCCCTCTGAGGTGGTGACTCACCTTGGACTTGAACCATGATGGCCTCTGAGGTGTACGTGAGCCAGCGTGTGGTATACGTCTTCTGTCCTTTGCAGCTATACTGGCCGCTGTTTTCCACTGTTGCTGTCTCTATGAAGCAAACTTGGTGGTTCTTAGAGCAATCGAGGGGTTTTCCATCTTTGTAGAACATCACCTGGGACAGCTGTGTGTGCATCCATCCCTGGCATTTCAGAGTCAAGACCTCTCCTTCAAATACAGGGTCCGGCAGGAACTGAAGGTCCAGCCAGACTGGGAGACACAGGCACAGGGTCATCCCTGGAGCTGCGGTCCGTCAGCCCAGTTTCCCCTCTCCACCCCCAGCTAAGACCTCCCAGCCCTTGCTAGCTCTCGGTTCTCCAGTCCGGCCAGAACAGACCCGGCAGGACCTTGACGTCTTTTTCTTCTTCTCTCCTTCCTCTTGCCTTTCTTTATTCTTCTCCTTTCTCCCTCCCCTTTCTCCTCTCTCTGGCTTTCTTCCCTTCCCACACTCTTTTTCTCCTGGCGTGTTGCATTCTCCTCTACCACCTTGAGAAGTTTGGCTGAGTCACCCATCGTCTTGCCTCAGACCTTCTGTCTCCATCTCAACTTCCTTTGATTGGCTTTTTGGTCCCCAGCTGCCCCAATGTGACACTTTCTGCAGCCTTCACGGCTGGTAAGAGCTGCATCCCTGCCCACCAGAGAGGAGCTGGTGGCGTGGCGTGTCAGAGGTGCTACCTATGGCCTGGGTTTTCTCCCTCCTGCTTCCCGGGTCAGGCTTCCCCAGGCCCATCCTCAGGAGGGAGCTTCATCTTCCATCAGTCATGGGAGAGATTGATTCTCTCTGCTTTTCTTATTAGCATACATTCTGTGGTCTGACACGGACGAGAGAAGATCAGGGCTCAGGCCTCATCTGCAGTACATACTAGGCTGGGCCTGTCCCCAGGCTGTACCTCTTTATCAGGCCAGATACCCACTCGTCCCAGACGGTCTTAGGAACCAGGACTAATGGCCTGAGAGTAATGACGAGTGATCAAACAGGGAGCCCTGAGGTGAGCCGCAGCACATCTTGCTTTGGCCTGGATTCCCCTGGACGCTTAGGACCCCCTGTTCCCACCCCGGGAGCAAAGTAGGGATGTTCACAGGGTTCCTAAAGGATGGGCCCTGCTTCCCCACTACTCCTCTTTCCGTCAGCTCTAAGTATTAGTTTGAAGTCTCTCCCCAGAACCACAGAACATGCCCTTGGAGGTCAAGATGTTTCATGGGTCGTTTTTTTCCCTGTTTGACATAAAATGCCACCGAGGCCCTTGGGACAGGATGGGCTGGAGGGCAGGGAAGATGGATGGACAGACGTAAGTGCCCACTTCTCTTAATATAAAAAGGAGAGAGGGGAATCATGTCTTGTTGAGTAGAGAATACAGGAGTTTCAGAGTCACACTGAGAGGAGAGACAGAGAGAGAGCCAGCGCCATTTTTAAGGGACTCGGAAGGAGATTGAGCCCTCTGTTGAGATTCAAGTTGCCTTAGGGCTTCCCCTAACATTGGCCCATGGAGTCAGGTTTCTTCTCACTCTGGACACTACCCAAGATTCCCCAAGAAGGGACCTAATGTGGTGCTGCTCTGCGTTGCTGCTGGAGGACCTAACTGCACCATCTTCATTCATTAAGTGTTGGGTCAGAGACACACGTGGGGTCAGAAAAGAYGTGGGTAAGACTTACCATTATTTCCAACACAGGAAACTGCTAGAGGGAAAAATGATATAATTTGATTAAATATCAGAATTTTCATACTGGGAGGACTCTACTTCATTGGTTGCTTATGTTCATAGTCAATCAACCAACCAACTAACTACTGAACCATCCAACCACTAAGCCATCCAGCCACCTAGCTACCCAGACACCCAGCCATCAAGCCACCTAGGCACACAGCCACCCGATCACCCAGTCACTAAGCCAACAAGCCACCTAGCCACCTYGTCAGGCTGCCACCCAACTACTCAGACACCCAACAACTAAGCCACCTAATCACTTACCACCCAGTCACCCAGACACCCARTCACCCAGCTAGCCACCCAACCACTCGCCCACCCAAGCATTTAACCAATCACTGTTTATGATGAGTCCACTCCCTGAATTTCTCTGCCCTATCTCAGTTCAAATGTTGCCTCTTCAGACAGGTCTTCCCTGGGACCACAGTCAAAATCGTTCTTCCCGGTCACTGTGATGATGTGCCATTGTCCTGTCGTCAGAGTGCTTATCAGTATTTGAATTGGTTTTCTTGGTTAAATTGCCAGCATGTTATCACCTATCTTCCTCTGTCTAGAATGTGAGAAGGGACTTTGCTTATCTTCATGTTCCTCATGCCCAGGACCTTTTTTTTTGGAACGTTATCTGTGTTCAGTGAGCATTGGTCAAATAAATGCATGAATTCTTTCCTTTGTGACCAGTTGTGTGGGATAGGGATCAAGAAAGTAGAACATATAGGACTAGACTCTTGCTCTAATGGGCAGAAGGGCCTATGCATATAGAACTAGAACCCATATGCCAAGGCCAGATCCCATTTCCCCAATAAGTCCACAGAGCTCTGGGAAAGAGTATGGAAGCGATCAGATTGAGGAGGAAGGTTCTCTGAAGGAGCGATCATTAAAGATGTGGGACATGGTCAGGCAGCTCAGATAAATGAGAGAACTACAAATGAGCTAGATGCAGCACATACCATGCTTGTACCTTGAACACTGTATTAGTGTTTCAAATRCCTGATTTTGTGTGTGTGTGTTCGCGCACGTGCACGTGTGCTGTGGGTACTGGGTATCTAGGGGTGCTTTACCATTGAGCCATAATGCCAGTCCTCTTTATTTTTTTTTTTTTAAACTTTGAGACAGAGTCTTACTAAGTTGCTGAGGACTTTGCTAAGTTGCTAAGGTTGGTCTTGAACTTGTGATCTTCCTGCCTCAGCCAACTGAGTCACTGGGACTACAGGTGTGCTCCACCATGYCTGTCCTAAAGGCCTGCATGTTTGAGGAGAATCGATGATCTGGGAAGAGTGGCTAAGTTTTAAGAGGACAGATTACAGTAAGATGGGTATGGATAACTCAAGGGACGGAGGACCCCAAATTGAGGGACATAGTTGGAAAGAAAGCTGGACTTTGGGACAAGGGATAAAACAATGAATGATTGTGGGGCTAAGTGAAGTCTATTTGTGCCTTTCAATGCTGACATGTCTTAGGTTCTCCAAGGTCCTAGGACACTGAGAGATGCAAGGATGGTCTTGGAAGGGGTATCTTAAASCCACTATCACTATGCTACCACTCATGCTGTCCACACTATGAGCCCTTTAACTTGATTTTTWAATTCAGTTTAGTGTCAGTTCCTATATAGAACTGGGTGTCTCTTTTTTCTTGTTGTAGTAGAAATCATGCATCTGGAAGCAGATGACATAGGCTGAACTCTTGAATCTGCTTCTTTTTGTRCGACCTTGGACAAATTGTCTAAATTCTGCTGGGCATGGTGATGCATGCCTGTAATCTCAGGAACTTGGGAGGCTAAGGTAGGAAGACTGCAAATTTGAGGACAGCTTAGGCAACTTAGAGAGACCCTGTCTCAAAAAAAAAAAAAAAAAGAGGTGGGGGTGTAGCTCAGTGGTAAAGCACCCCCTGGGCTCAGTTCCCAGAACCAYGAAACAAACAAACAAACAGGGCTGGGGAGGTAGCTCAGTCATAAAGTACCCCTGGGTTCAATCCCCAGTACCCACTTCCTCCCCCACCAACAAGTTTAAATTCCAAGAGCCTCCAATTCCTGGTCTGTCAAATCACACGTAATGGGAATGATAACTCTTTTTTCTTACAGGACGGTTGTGAGGGTTGCGGTGACCCACTGCCTGTGAAAATGGTTGTAACATTATTGAAAAGCAGAAAGGAGGCTGAACTCAGAGTGACTGAGGACTTATTCTGTAGTTATGACTCCCCCATTTTCCCTTCCTCCCCAGAAAACAATTTTGCAGCTACAATGTGCTGCAAAAACAGGGTTGAGGTTACCAAAGCCTATAACAAGAAAGAAGGTAACCAGAGAGCAGAGAGCCACTTCAGATGAGCTCGTTTGAATCCTGATGACTTGCTGCTCCCTGGTACTGCAGGACCTTGGAATTGTGATGGCAGAATTGCTTTCTGTAATCAAGCCGGCAGCCAACTAGGAACATACAGAATGGATGTTGTGTGCTGCTGTGATTTGGATCTGGAATGTCCCCTGAGAAGCTCATGCTTTGGAAGCATGATCTCCAGTTCTGCAATGTTCAGAGGTGAGGCTTTCAGATGATGAGGATTCTGACCTCGTCAGTGGATAAATCCATTCGCTGGATTAATTCATTAACAGTTGAATGATCAACTGGGGAGTATCTATAGGCAGGTGAAGCATCGTAACTGGAGGAAGCAGGTCCCTGGGGGTGTGCCCTTGGATGTGTTGTCCCCAGCTCCTCACTTTCTGTTTCCTGGCTCTCATGAGCTGAGTGGCACCTTTGCCCTGCCCTTCTGCCACGATGTTCTGTCTCACTTCAGACCCAGAACAATGGTGTCGGCTGGTCATGGACTGAGACCACTGAAACCATGAGCCCAAATAAACTTTTCCTCCTCTAAGTAGTTCTTGTCGGGTATTTTGGCCCAGAACAAAAGCTGACTAACATATCTGCCCACAGTARTTCCCATAAAGAAGGTGTGAGAATCTTAGCTAATGACTGATAGGTAAGGTGACAGTGTGATAAAGTGGTCAAGAGCTATTGTTGCATTTCAGAGTCTCAAACGGTGGAGGCAGTAGCCTCCYAAGCTCTGCATTATGAGTCCACTACGGGAGGGAGAAGAAAGTCCAGCTCCTGCACACTGAGAAAGCAAGTCAAGACAAGGCAGGATGAGGAAAGGGGTCTAGAAATTGTTACTTGTTAGGAGTTGCTGAGGGGCTGGGAGATACTAATCTGGAGAAGGTGTAATAGAGTARGGACACAAGAGTGGTCTTCTTTCATTTGGTGAGCCAAGTTTATTTCTGAGTTACTTCATGAGACAGAAATTAGGCTAACCGAAATGAGAGGGATTTTAGCTTCACGTGAAGAACTATTTAATGATTGAGTTCTGCCATGGTGGAACATGCTTTTTATTTTTTTGCTAGGTGACTTCCACGTTGCTGCCAGGATTGTGTGGAGGGCCCATGGCCCCTGCCATGGATTCTCTGTGAGTACATGGGAGGAGGGCTCCGGTAGGGGAGGAAAGCTGCCGCATGCTTGGCTCAGAAGAAAATTAAGGCCCATCTCCCAAAGTTTATAGATTTAATGTTTGGCCGTAAACCAGCAGGTTCCATGTCAGGGCCCCTACCCTCCTGGATTCCTGATAGCCAAGAACAGTAATAACCATTAATTATTGTGGCCACACCCTGCCAGGCAGATTAAATGAATTAGTATTTTCCCACATTTCCTGATTCGAATCCAACTACTTCTAGGCCAGAGGTAGACTAATTGGTGGAATAGAGAAAGTATGGGGTTTGAGATCAGATGCACTTGGGGACTGTTTTGTTCTTGTTTACCGGGTAATTATTAAGC